AAATTATATGAAAATCAACTATTGGTCTAATGAAATTTGGAAGACCAATTCAAAGTAAAAGAAGGGTAAGGAATTTCGTGAAAGCTTACCATCACTTTCTGGGAGGGATACAAACTAGAGCGTGTGCCGCCAAATGCTTCGCAATTCCTCTTTTGAATTATCACCACACACTTTGGAAGACTGCTTCCTCCATGACTCATGACCCGGAAGGGGAGTTTTCTGCTTGAATTCTACTCATCTTCGAACGTTTTTTAAATTGGTAATCTGTGTTTGATTCATGTTAATCGCAGTACTTTAATGGCGAAGAAAAACAGAGTTGGTGAAGAAATGTTTAAGAACAAGAATTTTAAAAGTCGTTTCGAGGAAAAAAAATGTAGGGTTTAGGGTTTAAACTTATTTGCTTCCATATATTCTCAATGTTCCATGTTTATGGATTGTACAAATAGGAAAGGGCTGTCTCTGATTTGTGTTTGTGTTCTTGAAGAATTAGAAATTAGAAGGGTCTGAATATTTGTAATGATAGTCCCAAACTTTATGAAATTATTGAACTCTTCCATGGTGGTTGGAATTGGAATTAATGAAACTTGGTTGTCAGGATTTATTGCATGTTCTTGTGGACAGAGTCAATGCTTGAAGTCTTGGAATTTTGTGGACTATTGGATTCTTAGAGGGAAAAAAGAGAAGTTTAAAGAGATGGTAGGGGTTTATTGCTACACTATATATATTGGGAGGGAGAGAGCGAAGCCTTTGGCTTATGACTATCATTCTCATAAGAAATGGGAAAGCTTCACTTTCTGTTTTCTTTCTTGTTGTTTGCTGCCATGGTTTCTGGAAGGCATGAAACTGAAAGAACTGCGGGCTCAACAATGGTTGATGGTAAACAGGGCAGGATAGGAGCCATTGTAGATATGAGTTCTAGGATTGGTAAGGAAGAGATTTTAGCTATGCAGATGGCTATAGAGGATTTTAACTCCTTGAGCAATCGAAATTTCAGTCTCGTCATTAGAGATTCCAGAAGTGATCCCAATCTAGCAGCTCTAGCTGGTGAGAGTTCTTATTTCTGTTCATATCAATTTAAGTTTCCAGCTACTTTCTATCATTAAACAGTTTATCATCGAAACACAATCTAAAATGAACTATTGAATTTGCAGCTAAAGATCTCATCAGTATGCAACGAGTTCAGGTTCTTATAGGGCCCCAAACCTGGGAAGTGGCATCCGTAGTTTCTGAGGTTGGAAATGAGGAGAAGATTCCGGTATTGGCGTTAGCTAACGAAATACCGAAGTGGGCAAACGAGAGGTTCAAATTCTTGGTCCAAGCTTCTCCCTCTCAGTTAAATCAAATGAGGGCTATAGCTGGTATTATCGGTTCGTGGGATTGGCACCTAGTCAATGTTATATATGAAGATAGAGATTTCTCAACCACTGAAATATTTCCTCATCTTGTACATGCCCTCAAAGACGTAGGAGCTGAAGTAAGTGAATTTGTTGGTCTCTCACAATTTGATTCTGATATATTCACCAAAGAATTGGAGAGGCTAAGAAGAGGGTCTAGCAGAATTTTTGTAGTTCATTTGCCATTCAAGTTGGCAATGCGTTTATTCGAGACAGCAAAAGAGATGGGAATGATGGGAAAGGACTATGTATGGATCACCACCGATACTTTCACAAGCCTTGCACATTCTTTCAATGTTTCTATCAACTCTGTACTACAAGGAGTTGTTGGAGTCAAGAGCTACTTCCCAGAAAGAAATCCTCGATATCGTGACTTTTATCTTCGGTTTTGTCAAAGGTTTAGATTAGAGCATTTTGATGAGGACAACAACGAGCCCGGTATCTTTGCAGTACAGGCTTATGATGCTGCAACGACAGCAGCTATGGCAATGAGTGAAATCCAAGAAAAGGGTAATGATCACTTGTTAGAAAAAATAGAGCTCACTGACTTTCAAGGACTCGGTGGAAAGATTCAGTTCAAGGACAGAAAATTGGCCCCAGCTGATACTTTTCAGATTATCAATACCTTGGGAAGGAGTTATATGGAACTAGGCTTCTGGTCTGATACACTAGGATTCTCGCAAGAGTTGAGGGAAAATTCGTCTTCTAGCTCGTCGATGAAGGATCTTAGCCAAGTGTTTTGGCCAGGTGGATCGTCTGAAACTCCAAAGGGATGGGTCGTACCAACAGATGCCAATCCATTGAGAATTGGGGTGCCAACTGGTTCCATGTTCAAACAGTATGTACAAGTGGAAGAAGATCCTAAGGCCTTCAATGGACTTGCAATTGATCTGTTTAAAGAAACATTAGGCATCCTGCACGCCCCGCTGTCGTACCAGTTCCATTGTTTCGATGGCTCATATGATGATTTGGTGAATGAAATCTACTTGAAGGTAAGGAAAAACTGCAAGAACAACTTGCCTTTCTTTGCATGCTTATAAGAGTTTCTAAACAAAGCAGCCATAACTTAATAGAAGATTTTTCTATTTTAGTTGCGTTACACATAATACTAACAATCTTTCCTTATTCTGCTTGTCTATGAAGAAATTTGATGCAGCTATAGGAGACATAGCCATAATATCACGACGCTATGAACATACCGAGTTTACACATCCTTACTCCGAAGCAGGACTGGTGATGATAGTTCCTACCACAAATGACACAAGCAACAAATCATTGTTGTTCACAAAGCCCTTTACTATGACCATGTGGATTCTAATTGCTGTGGTAACCGTCTACAATGGCTTTGTCGTGTGGCTCATAGAACGAGGTCACTATCCTGAACATGATGGTTCAATGCTTGATGAAGCTGGAGCCATGTTTTTCTCATCCTTCACCACTCTCTTCTCCTTGCACGGTAACTAACACAACTGATGAGTTTTCTTGTCATTCTTGCTTTTCATTTGGAAAAAGTAAAATAAAACGGATAATTTAACATCATTTTGGCTGATTTTCTTGACAAAAGGCAATAGGCTGCACAGTAACTTATCGCGGATGGCTATGGTGGCGTGGCTATTCATGGCACTTGTGGTAACTCAGACATACACAGCTAATCTTGCCAGCATGCTCACTGTTCAAAAGTTCAAGGCGACTATATCGGATATTGAGACTCTCCAGAAAACGAATGCATATGTGGGAAACGGCAGAGGAACCTTTGTCAAAAGCTATTTGGAAGAAGTTTTGGACTTCCCTGCCAAAAATATAAAAAACTACACTACCCAAAACGATTTAGCTGAGGCTCTCAGAAACCAGGAGATAGCAGCTGCATTTCTTGAAGTCCCTTATGCAAAACTATTCCTCGCAAGATTTTGCAATGAATTCATGATTTCTGGACCAACCTACCATGTTGGAGGATTTGGATTTGTAAGATATATTGCTTCTACGTTTGCCTTGCATCTCATTTAATCCTCTGTTCTCTAGATTAACTTACGTTCTTGCTTCGCGACGTCTTGCAGGCGTTTCCGAGAGGCTTTCCGCTGTTACACGAAGTTAACAAAGCACTGCTTAAGGTATTTGAAAATGGCAAGTATAGAGAGTTGGAAGAAAGCATGATTGCTAGGGAGAAATGTGAGGATAGGGAAGCAAAAGTGAAAAGTTCAAGCCTCAGCCCCAACAGCTTCTTTTTACTATTTGTATTGAGTGGAGGAGTATCAACATTAGCATTGACATTGTACACTATCAGTGCTCATAAATCATTTCTTCAACAGACCGTTCTTTGGAGATTAATGTTAGCTGTAATCAAGAACTGGGGAAATCACAGGAGGGAATTTTCTCGACAACCAAACGACGTGCTGCTAATCGTCCCAAAGATCTTCCCAAACGCTACAAACCTGCAAATTCAGGTCCAGTAAACTGTGTATGGTTCAGTTTTGTTTTAAGTAGAATTATGGCTAGAAGAAGACTAGGTAGAGCTTTAGTGGGAAATATGGAAAACCTTGTAGATTATTAACAATTTTTCATAGGTTGATATGTAAAAATTTATTCTTTGATCCAATGAACAGCTCACACATCCCTTGGGGTTTTAGTTCTATGAATCACCTTAGATCATATAGCTTATAGCTTGCACTCTTCCGGTCGAAGGTTCAAATTCTTATACTCCTTGATTACGAAAAAAATGTTTGTATTATTGACGAGATTTGTAGCTATTTAGTTGGACAAGTAATATTAGACTATATTCAGATATAATGAATTAATCTTCTCATTTGTGTGGACAAGGGTCAGTTGTACTATTTTTTAGTTTAACTTGTATTTTATGAATTTGTGGCATCATCTATGTCCATTTTCCACATTACCATGTCAAATTCATTACTGTTCCATACAAAATTATTGTTTTGTCGACACTTGTTAACGGATAATTCAATCACACTTTGAAGTCTTAAATTCAGGTTTGATTTAGTCTTTGTAATTTTTAAAAACGAAAAATTGTAATAAATAGCTAAAATTATCGCATAATTTTAAAATATATCGAATGAGAGTCTTTCGAGTGGGAAAAGAAGTTAGGGTGTCATGGGAATAGACAGAAGTACCACATTTGTCTAAGCTCGAACAAACTCGACCTTAGCAAATTGACGGCCAATAGTGTAAGTTGAGGAAGAGCTATCATTAGTGTAAGTTGAGGAAGAGCTATGCAGCATTGAGCTAAGCTGAATTTGAGGAGGCCAAGACTTAAAGCTTCTAACATGTACATGAGCGTGCCCTATACATAATCGAGTGGTGGCACCGCTAACAAATTGCTAGTCTTTTTCGAGAATAAGGCGAAGCTAAAGATAACTTGTCTGGTAGGCTATTCTAATTTGTTTATGATAGAACTATTGCAGTGTATTTTTATTCCGATTACAGCTTCACATCACATCGGTAAAAAATGTATTTGAATGATATCGCTATAATTCTTAATAAATGTTATGTGATTTTTGGAGAAAAAGAAAAATTATTCTTTAAGATAAAATATTTTTAAATTTCTTGTTCATAATTAAGACTAAGTCTCAGGAGCATTGACGAAAAAATGGCCATACAAGAATGAAATTAAATGCCCAAAAGAATTCCTCAAACTCTGGCGAAGTCCAAAGGAGAAATCTACGAAATCCCTTCAAGAAATTTGAAAACAAAAAATGGAGTAAGCTTGAAAGATTCAACTTACCCATTTGAATATTACGAACAACCTTCAGAGATTCTCGTCCATGGCGATGACTCGCGACCAGGAAAGTCAATCGTGTATTAATTATTTATTCACTCTTGTCTCTATTTCAGCTTTGAATATTGTTCATCTTCTTTCTAATGTTTCCTTCCTTTTCCCCTCATTTATATTTTCTAATGCTTGTGCTCTGTATTGAATCTGAGATGGAGATGACAAAATGGGTAACCTGTGTTTCTGAAGGAATTTCTGATCTGAATCCATTTTCTTAGTTCTTTTTGTTCATTGAGTTGTTTGAATGAATGGCGTAGATTGTATCATTGTGCTATCTGAACACTATATTGACCAAAGTGCTATCACATAATCAATGCCTTTTCATGGTTCTTAGAATTTAAAGGGGTTTTGTCAAGCTTCCTCCACTCATTATTCTAGGTAGAGTCAAGAACCCTCTGAAGTTAGTGAGCCAAATATGTATTGTTCTTATTAGTTGGCATACAAAATATGAAGAAAAAGGACAGGGGGCTTATGTCTTTAATAAAAATGGGACAGTTCCCTGCTCTGTTTTCTTTCTTCTTGGTTACTTTGGTAGTTTCTTGGAGGCATGAAACTGAAGGAAACATGAACTTGACGATGGATGATAGTGGAAAGGGCAGAATTGGGGTCATTGTAGACAAGAGTTCCAGGATTGGCAAGGAAGAGATTTTGGCTATGCAGATGGCTGTTGAAGATTTTAACTCCTCCAGGAATCAGAGCTTTAGTCTTGTTATCAGAGACTACAAAAGTGATCCCAATCTTGCATCTCTTGCAGGTAAGAGTTTAGATTTCTTCTTTAATCTAATTGAATGTGTAACGGTTCACGTCCACCGCTAGTAGATATTGTCCTCTTTGGGTTTTCCCTTCCGGACTTTCCTTAAGGTTTTTAAAACGCGTATGTTAGGGAAAGTTTTCCACACCCTTATATAAAGAATGTTTCGTTCTCCTCCCTAACCATGTGCGATCTCACAATCTACTCCCCATTTGGGGCCCAACGTCCTTGCTGACACTCGTTCATCGATGTGGGATCTCACAATCCACCCCCTTCGAGGCCTAGTGTCCTCGCTAACACTCGTTCCCTTCTCCAATCGATTTGGGACTCCCCAATCCACTCCATTCAGGGCCCAGCATCCTTGATGGCACACCGCCTCGTGTCCACCCCCATTTGGGGCTTAGCCTCCTCACTGGCACATCGCCCGGTGCTTGGCTTTGATACCATTTGTAATGACCCAAGTCCACTACTAATAGATATTGTTCTCTATAGGCTTTCCCTCCAAGGCTTTCGCTCAAGGTTTTTAAAATGCGTCGGCTAGAGAGAGATTTCCACACCCTTATAAAGAATGTTTCATTCTCTTCCCCAACCATGTGGAATCTCACAATCCACCCCCTTTGGAGCTAGCATCCTTTTCGACACACCGTCTTGTGTCCACCCCCTTTAGGGCTTAGCTCTTCGTTGACACATCGCCCATTTTTTGGCTCTGATACCATTTGTAACAGCTCAAGCCCACCGCTAGCAAAGATATTGTCTTCTTTGTGCTTTCCCTCAAGGTTTTTAAAACGCGTCTGCTAGGGAGAGGTTTTCACACTCTTATAAAGAATCTTTCGTTCTCTTCCTCAACCGATGTGGGATCTCATAGAATTCCTTCTTATTCGTATCCATTGAACTATTATGAAGTATGACGAATCCTGGTTTGTTAACTTTGGTTTAATCCAGCTACTTCCTATACATCAAAGGGAGTTTATAACTTTAGCACAATCTAACCAAGTTGTTGAACTTGCAGCTAAAGAACTCATCAGTATGCAACGAGTTCAGGTTCTTATAGGACCCCAAACCTGGGAAGCGACATCCATAGTTTCCGAGGTCGGAAATGAGAAGCAGACTCCAGTTCTAGCATTAGCTAATGAAATACCGAAGTGGGCAAATGAGAGGTTCAAATTCTTGGTCCAAGCTTCTCCCTCCCAGTTAAATCAAATGAGAGCTATAGCTAGTATCATCGGTTCATGGGATTGGCACCTAGTCAATGTTATATATGAAGATAGAGATTTCTCAACCACTGAAATATTTCCTCATCTTGTACATGCCCTCAAAGACGTAGGAGCTGAAGTAAGTGAATTTGTTGGTCTCTCACAATTTGATTCTGATATATTCACCAAAGAATTGGAGAGGCTAAGAAGAGGGTCTAGCAGAATTTTTGTAGTTCATTTGCCATTCAAGTTGGCAATGCGTTTATTCGAGACAGCAAAAGAGATGGGAATGATGGGAAAGGACTATGTATGGATCACCACCGATACTTTCACAAGCCTTGCACATTCTTTCAATGTTTCTATCAACTCTGTACTACAAGGAGTTGTTGGAGTCAAGAGCTACTTCCCAGAAAGAAATCCTCGATATCGTGACTTTTATCTTCGGTTTTGTCAAAGGTTTAGATTAGAGCATTTTGATGAGGACAACAACGAGCCCGGTATCTTTGCAGTACAGGCTTATGATTCTGCAACGACAGCAGCTATGGCAATGAGTGAAATCCAAGAAAAGGGTAATGATCACTTGTTAGAAAAAATAGAGCTCACTGACTTTCAAGGACTCGGTGGAAAGATTCAGTTCAAGGACAGAAAGTTAGCCCCAGCTGATACATTTCAGATTATCAATATCATGGGAAGGGGTTGTAGGGAACTCGGCTTCTGGTCTGATAAATCAGGGTTCTCACCAGAGTCGAGGGAAAATTTGTCGTCTAACTCATCGATGAAGGATCTTAGCCAAGTGTTTTGGCCGGGTGGTTCTTCGGAAACTCCAAGGGGATGGGTTGTACCAACAGATGCCAATCCATTGAGAATTGGGGTGCCAAATGGTTCCATGTTCAAACAGTATGTACAAGTGGAAGAAGATCCTAAGGGAAACAATTTAACCTTCAAAGGACTTGCAATTGATCTGTTTAAAGAAACCATACACAGCCTGCACGTCCCTCCGTCGTACGAGTTCTATCGTTTCAATGGCTCATATGATGATTTGGTGAAGCAAATCTACTTAAAGGTAAGGAAAAACTACAAGAACAGCTTGCCTTTCTTTGCATGCATATAAGAGTTTCTCCTACTAACAATCTCTCCTTATTCTGCTTGTCTATGAAGAACTTCGATGCAGCTGTAGGTGATATCGCCATAATATCACGACGCTACGAACACGCCGAGTTTACACATCCTTACTCCGAAGCAGGACTGGTGATGATAGTTCCTACCAGAAAAGACAAAAGCAACAAATCATTGTTGTTCACAAAGCCCTTTACATTAACCATGTGGATTGCAATTGCTATGATAAATGCCTACAATGGCTTTGTAGTCTGGTTCATAGAACGAAGTCGCTATCCAAGTCACGACGGTTCGATGTTTAATCACGCTGGCACCATGCTTTGCTCATCCTTCACGACTCTCTTCTCACTACATGGTAACCAACACAGCTAACAAGTGTTTGTTCTGCATTTGTGGGGGAAAACATATAATCTAACACATCATATTGGCTTGTTTTGTTTACCAAAGGTAACATGCTGCATAGTAACCTGTCACGGATGACCATGGTGGTTTGGTTGTTTATGGCACTCGTGATAACTCAAATATATACCGCGAATCTTACAAGCATGCTCACTATTCAAAGACTCGAACCGACTATATCGAATATTGAAACGCTCCAAAGGGGAAACGCTTTAGTCGGATATGGTAAGGGATCCTTTGTCAAAAGATATTTGGAAGAAGTTTTACACTTCCGACCCGAAAATATAAAGAACTACTCCACACCTGATGATTTTGCTGAAGCTCTCAGAAACCAGGAGATATCAGCTGCTTTTCTTGAAGTTCCTTTTGTGAAAATATTCCTTGCTAGATTTTGCAGGGAGTTCATGATTTCTGGGCCAACCTACAAAGTTGGTGGATTTGGATTTGTATGTCCTTGTTGCTGCTATTCCCTTGTGTTTCATATCATATGTAAATTCTCTGAACTTTGCTTCGCGCTGTCGTGCAGGCGTTTCCACGAGGCTCGCCGTTGTTAATGGATATCAACGTAGCGTTGCTTAAGGTATCTGAAACTGGGAAGTTCAAAGCTTTGGAGGATAGCATGATTGCTAATGAGACATGTGAGGATGATGATGCAAAGGAGGAAGGTTCACGCCTCAGCCCCAACAGCTTCTTTATACTGTTTGTATTTAGTGGAGGAGTATCAACAATAGCTCTCACATTGTTCATCTTTAGTGCTCATAGCTCTAGTTTTCATCAGAACGCTATCTGGAGATTAATGATAGCTGTAATGAGACACTGGGGAAAGCATAGGAGGTCGCCTTCTCGACGAGTATGCGACAACCTGCAATCGACGACCGTCTCAAATAACTTCGTGCACAACACGAACTTACGAATTCAGGTCTAGAAAACAGTGAGATCTTTCATTCAAATTTTTTTCTTCCATCAATAACGTTGTATCTTGGGAAAAATACAGGAGGCCGTCTTCTCGACGAGCAAGCGATGAACCACAACCAACGACTGTTTCGAATAACTTCGCACACGACACACTTGCAAATTCAGGTCTAGAAAATTGTGACACCTAATGCAAATAATGTGCAGATGAGGGAGCTATAAAGGGAAGCTTGGGAAATCAGACAAAGTCTTTGATTAGAATGTAAAAATTTAATGTATTAGCCTAAGAACATGGCTGTCTTTTGTCTTTGTCTGACATGTTCTGACTTTTAGACTATCGAGAGATTAACGATTGTTGTATATCTATCTTTTCCATATCTATCTCGTGAAATTCTTTCTGTAACTTCCCATGTTTAGGATATATTCGATATCGATTGTAACTTGTAGTTCGATAACATTTTATCCTCGAATTTATGAGTAGTTGCCGAAATATATCTCGCTATTATTTCATTTTGGTTTTCTTCTTCTCTCTATCAATCCTCAAAGATGAATTGAATATACGAATCGATGACTATTTCATAAGGTGATATGATGAGGTTGTAAAGTGCAAACACCTTGAAGTTCAAGAGTATACACTCTCCTGTAATACGGCTCCGTCCTAGCGGCCTCCCCTTTCCTTTGACCAACGGGTCATCGAACCAAGTAGTCTGGTCTCTACCTATATGCACCCTCGTTTGGTGGATATAGTTGATGGAGCTGGTTTTCCAATTCTATTCAGAACTAAGAGTTCTCATTTTTTTAATAGAGACATGTATACGGGCGAGGAAATTTCTAAGTTCACTGTTATTGGATGAACGAATGCAATAGGGAGAGTAACGAGATGAGATTGGATAGAACTAAATTTAATGAGTTAAATAATTAATTTTGAAAGGCTCAAAAATAGAAAAATATCATAAATAAAATAATAATAAAGAACATGTTCACATAATTTGGGCAGCTAGAGAAGAAAAGCATATAATAAAATAAAGATTCAAACAATTCCTGACAATGTCTGCTTTAATACATTAATTAATCCAATTAATAAATCCACCCTTAAAAAATTAAAAAAAAAAAAAAAAAAAAACCAATAATCTTTTTTTTAAAATAATAATAATAAAAATTCTATCTTAAAAAAATAGTAAAAGAAAGCCAGCTGTCAGTTGCCCCAACAGATCCACACCGATAGTTATTTCTTTTTCTTTTCTTTTCTTTTTTTTTTTCCATTTTGGGGTTAAAAAAAATTATAAAAAGAGAAGAAAGAAAAACATGTTCATCCACGTGTCAACAGACTGACCGTTGAATATCGAGCTGTCAAGTGGGCCCCACCACGTAAACATCCAAGTGGAAATTGGAAGCAAATCACGTGAAGAAGTCCGTCCATTTTGTTAGCATTCATTCGTTCACTCCACAGTCAACTTACAGCCTGCTCCTTCTCCGTCTCAGCCGCTTGAGGCGGAGCACCTTCCCCTGAAGACGGTGGCTGCTGCTGCGGCGGCGGCGGCGCCACCACCCCATTTTGATTGCTGCCCATTTTCTTCAAACTTTGTTGATGGTAAACTTGCCTCAATCTCTCTATTTCTTTCTTCAATGCCTCTTGATGAGCTGAAAAAAAACAAAACCCATTTTTTAAAATTGAATTATATATTAAAAAAAGGGTTTTTTAAAAAGAAAAAAAGAAAATTACCATCTTTGAAAATCTTATCTTGAGCCAAGGCTGCAATCCTCTGCTTGAGAGCACTGTTATCAACGTTTAGAATCAATCTTTGGTGGTCTAAAAATGCCACTCTTGGGGACAATGCTGATACTTCAGTCTGCCATAATACCCAATAATTAAACTTAGTTAATTATGATTAACGATTAATTAATTAAAAAAAGAAATTATCCGTACCTGTAATGAAGTTACACTCCGCTCGAGCTCGGAAATGTATTGTAATTTTCTGACTCTCGACCTTTGTGCTGATTGTCGATTTGCTAAAATTCTGATGCAAAAAAAATCACCCACTAATCATTAAGTTTTCTAATTATGTTATTAATTACGTAGTGGCTGTGATCATAAATTAATTAGAAGGTTATTGCAAAATTTTATTAAAAATATTGTTTTAAATTGTGTGTGTGTGTGTGTGTGTGTGTTTTTTGGAATTGATTGATTTATGGGATTGAATACCTCTTAACTCGCTTGGGATCAATGGTGTTATCGCCGGCGGCAGAGGAGGACGGCGGAGGTTGAGATAGCTGCGGTAGTTGACAAGGGGAGCTTTCGACCTCGCCAGGTTCATTCTTCAACTGATGTGGAGGAGGGGGTGGATGTTCCGACGGGGTTGTTTTCTCGTCGTTGTTACTATTCTGGTCAGAGGGGGTGGACGGATTTGACGACGACGGCGGAAGCGGCATGGAAATGTCATCGGAAAACATGGACATGAGTTGGTCGTCGTCAAGGCGGTCGAAGGGAGGAGGAGCATGTAGAAGGGCGGAGGCGGAAGCAGCGGCTGCGGCGGAGGAGGAGGAGTTGCGACATTCATCGGAAAATGGGGTTTCGAGGAAGGCAATGGAGTCGCTGATGGATCTCCGGTGAAGGCCGCGGCGGGCGGTGGAGAAGTCGAGAAAGTCGTCGACCCAGGAGGAGGTATGGTGGGCGGATGGCGGTGGGTGGGGCGGAGGAGAAGGAGAAAAGTTGGGCATTGAAGGTGGAGGAAAATGAGGCCAATTTTGAGGGAAAGATGGTATTTTTGGGGGAAATTGAGCCATATTGGTATGTAATTAAAGACACACCAACACTCATACACAGGGAATTGGGGTTTATAATGGTGCGCTCATCATCACCAATTACATCCAAATTTAACCCATTCTAATATCATGTATAATAATTCAAGTCCACTGTTAGCTTTAAACTTTCCCTTCTAATAAATGTGTCTAGCTAGGTTTCCACGCCCTTACAATGTTTACTCAACCCCACTTCCCCTCTCCAATCCATATGTGACTTTACAATCCACCCCCTCTCCCTTGGGAGCCAACATTCTCGCTGACAAACCACCTACTGACTAGATCTATTATTTGTTTTGACCCTTTATATATCATTGTCAGCTTCATAGTTTGACGTATAGTTGTAAGTCTTACAATTTTAAAACGTATTTATTAAGGAAAGGTTTCCACACCTTTGTAAGAATTTTTTGTTCTCCTCTCCAACCAATAAAGGATCTCACAATCTATTAGTGTTAGACTTTGATTGTTACAAGAGAAGTTCTACGTCCACTAATTAAGGGTGAATATACCTTTTCATTAATATAAAATTAGGAGAGTTCAAGTTCAAACTACACCATAAAAGCCTTTTTTAAAAATTTTACTTTGACAGAATTCAATTCAAGACCCCAAAGGCATAGGAAGAGAGAGGGGAAAGTGGGTCACATGGGGGGTGGGATTAGGGACAGCTAGCAACAGCTGTGGGGAGGGGTGGATACAAATCAGGCCATTCTTATTTATTTTTCCTTTTTTCTTTTTTTTTCTTCTTCTTAATAATTTTAAAAATCAAAATTCCAGTTAATAAAATAAAAATAAAAATAAATGTATATATATAATATTTTATATAAAAGGTATCAGACACCACGTGCCGATGTGACCCTTGGCCTTCACATCCCTCTCCTTATCTTTACAATTAAAAGTTAAATGTTTTTATGTTTTCCTATTTTATATTTTAACTTCCAATTTTATAGTTATTTTTATATAAAAAAAATGTATAAATCTATAAATTCCAACCTAGATGAATACGAATATCATAGTTGATATATATATATATATATATATATATATATGAGATATAGAGCGAATATAATATGAATTAGTGAGGATGATTATATAATTATCGACTCTTTTGATTCTATATTTGGTACTTAATTAAGATTACGTTAGAATACTACAAAAAAAAAAAAAAAAAAAAATACTTGCTTAATCATTTGGACGTGGTCTCAATTTGAAAGATTATAGTCAATCGAAGATTTAACGACTTATTAGTAGATATTTTTCATCTGACACCCGAGTAAAAAAAAGTATATGAATGAACTAAGATCACATCCAAATGAGAGGAATAAGATTGTTAAGAAATATTTAAAAGAATTGAAAGCGCAATTTATATCCACAAGATGCATCTTTTTAGAAATTTTCTTAGAATGCATGTGAGTGAAGACAAAACATGTTGGAAGAACTCGTGTTGGTTTCTAAGGATAGTCTTCACTCTTAAGAAACAAGGAACATAGATAAACTGTCCATGTCCGAGAGGACGTAAGAGAATGTCGGAGTTATTAGGTGTCTAATTTAGATTCGAACCCTAATTTGAATTCTGGGTATGAGGCGTTATATTTCAAGTGTAAGTTTCAACTACAAGGAGAGTCGTTTATGCTGAAGAATAAGAATATATCTCGAAACTGTCTGATTTAATAAATCTAACGAACGTTCGTAATAATGTATGTATGTAAGAATGATGTCCTCCCCCATGTGAATTGTTTGAAAGAGCCCACCTTCCCCTCCTTTGCTTTGTCCCCAAATCACACTCACATGTCTGCCTCTCTTTCCCTTTAGCTTCTACAAATCATCATCCCAAGAGTGAAGGGAAAGCCAAAATTAATGCTCTTTTTATTTTTTATTTTTTTAAAAAAGTATTATTATGGAAAACATTAAAAATAAATTAAAATTTTAAACAACAATAATCATGATTACATGCTTAAGTACATTTTTTAATTATAACATATGGTAAAACCCATACCCCAACTTTATTTTAATTTTCCCTATTTAAAAAAAAAAAAGAATTTATTAAATAAATAAATAAATAAATAAATGGGGTGAATATCATCATCATATGCATAATGCATGCCATGTTCCACGTTTGGAACAATTCCCATAATTTTAGGATTCTCCATATTCTTACTTTTTTTTTTCTCTGTTATTATATTTATTTTTATTTAGATCCACGCGGTTTTTGTTCGGTAAACTAGATGGGTAATAGTTAGCTATGTTCGTATTAATAGATTTTATTTATTTAAATATTATTTAAAATATCGTTTATTTAATAAGAACCAAAATAAATATCAATCACGATAAATATTATTCTTTTATTCTCGGAGTTAATTTGGAAGAATTGTTCGGTAGACTATCAAAAATTAGAATGGAAATCTAAGATATCTTTTTTCATAATTTTAAATAATTAGAATTTCGTTACTAAATAATGTCAATATAACTTTTAATTCACTAAATAAATATATATGAATATTTATAAATGTCTCCTATTTTAAGAAATTATTTAATATTAAAAATAAAGTTAAATTAATAAATACGTTCTACTTTATCCCAAAAATAACTTACTTTCAAATGTTTCATTACCATGTAACTTTAAAAAAAATTAAAAAAATAAGTTTTACATGAAAATAATTAATAATTTGTTTAAAAAATATCCTTCCATTAAAAAAAAAAAAAATCAAAAACTATATTTACCATTAATACTATATTTTACAAATTTTTGAACACTAAAAGGTATTTTTTAAAATTAAAGAGTATTTTTTAAATCATTTTGAAAGTTAAATAACATTTATAAAATAAAATACTAATAATTTTTATGTGCTATTGCAATTGAAATTTTTGAAAATTATTTTTTATTTATTTTTAAAGTTGAAGGGTATTTTAGAGATTTTTTTGAAATTTTAGGGATATTTTTGAAAACGTATTATTTAAAATTATTTTAGCCTAAAAACAATAACTAATTAAAATAAAATAATTTTTTTTTGTTTGGGTTAAAAGATCGTTAATCGTGTTAGTTAATACAAATATCTTATTTTAACAAAATAAGTAATTAAATAAAAATTTTAATTTTATAAAGGAATTAGAGGTAATAAAATAATAGATAAGTAGTGAAAATAATTAATAAATACGAAAGAAAAATTAATAAAAATGTAAAATAATTAGCGAAAAAGGTGGCCCACCAGTCCTAAACATATTTTTATTTATTAGTTTTATTTTAGAATATTTTAAATATTTTAATTATTATTCAACGCTAATTAAAATTTAATTTAATAGATTCAAAACAAAGTAAACTAATAAAAAGGAATTTATACTAAGTAATGTATGAAATAAGGATGGAATCAATGCATATGATATAGAACCAAACATACTTATATATAATATTCATTCAATTTTAAATTAAGAAATATATCCAACATTAAAAAAAAAAACATTATCCATAATAAACAAATAAAATGACGTCAAAATAAACAAAAATCTAAATAGTTTTTTTTTTTACCAAAAATATTTATTTTAAATGTGTAATAAATTGATATTATTTGAAGAGAATGAAGAATAATTAGATTTTGTTAATCCCCAAGTAGTAGTAATTATCCAAAAATAAATTAAAATTAAAATTAAAAAAAAAAAAACAACTCTAATTTAGCTGGGCTGCATGTGCAGGTTAGAGAGAAAAAGAATATTTATAATATAAGATTACCCAGAAGGAATATATAGCACTATAGACTTTAGGCACTATAAATAAATGTTAATTAATTTAATTTAATTAATTAATTAATTAATGTTTTGGTTTAATTTATAATTTTAATTACGGGGATCCCAATATTACAAAAGTACGGTACGGGAAAGCAGCGATGGGAACGGCACCGGCATTATTAGCACGTGGGAACACCAACCAAGCAACTCCCAAAACCTACCTTTTTTTTTTTTTTAATTTAATTTAATATTTTTTTTAAAAAAAGATTAAAATGTAGACATAATCATGTGAAACTAACTTTTATTAAAGGATAAATGTATGTTTTTAATCTTTAATCTTTAATTTGTTTTCAATTTATAATTTATTATATTTAACGACTTAATACAACGTTAAAATGATAATTATGTCATTTTATTTTATTTTATGTTCTTAAGTTGAATTTGTGTGAGTGCATTTCGACCCTTATCATTCATGACTGGATTATTGTTTAGTATAACAAATGAAAGGATCAATATTTGAAGAACTTTCGGCCTCAGAAAAAGAATACATGTTAACTATTGTTAAAATATATTCATTTTGAATTGTATTATAGAGTCGTTCATGAAAAAGACTCGTTAATTTCTCCTTATTTGCTAAATTGGTTAAAGAAAAACAAAAGAAGATTTTGAAATTATGGTTCTCGGCCACAGGGAAGCGAGGCCAAGAGCCCCCACAAGGCCATCTTTACCAAGGTCGAGAAGTTCGAGATCAAGAGCCCCTACAAGACCATCATGGCCAAGGTCGAGAAGGTCTAGGTCAAGAGCTCCCACAAGGCCATCTTGGCCAAGGTTGAGGTCGAGGTGACCTGGTTTCTCCTAGGCGCATCTAAAGCGTATTTCCAACACGAAAAAGATCCTACAAGTTGAGTTCAACTTGTTCCGATCGGGTTCGAAGGAAAAGAACCAAAAACCCTAGGTCAATCTAGATTACATGGACTTGATTCTCAAAGTTCCTAAACTTGTGGCAATAGTGTATTTGCACCACTTAGATGCGTAGATCCTTTTGTTTTGTTATCTTAATAGAGAGGCCAAGCCCATTATTAAAAAAGCCCAAGCCCGTTATCGAAAAGCCCAAGCCCATTATTGAACAGCCCAAGTCCATTAAGTCGAAGATGAACACTCCATTTCGGCGAAACGTTACGAGTGATCGTCTTCAACAATTTCAAAACCTCTCTCTGATTCTTATGCCTTGGAGCTCCACCTCCTGATCCATTTCAAACCCCTCGAGTTCTGTGGAAAATCAGAGTCATCGGATCCGGCCTGAATAAGTATGGCGGCGTATAGAACGGACGACGATTACGATTACCTCTTTAAAGTGGTTCTCATCGGTGACTCGGGTGTTGGAAAATCTAATCTCCTCTCCAGGTTTACGCGTAATGAGTTCAGTCTTGAGTCCAAATCTACAATCGGTGTCGAATTCGCCACTCGGAGTATTCGGGTCGATGAGAAGGTCGTCAAGGCTCAGATTTGGGATACCGCCGGTCAAGAAAGGTTCGTCAACCACTTCTTTTACTTCCATGATTCTGTTGGATTCTTGGCATTGTCTTGGTTTGGATCTTGATTGATTATTCTATTTTCTTTGTGTTTATTGTGATCTAGTTCTATGATTTAAGATTTTGATGTTAAACCGAATTGTTGGGAAAGCCGAGAAAGTTGCATTCATAGGGCTTTTAGGTGTGTTCTTCTGTTGTTGGGGATTTGAGAATTAAGTAGCCTTTCAGATATTGATTCTCAGTGGTTTCTTGCTTGTTAAGATAGTGATCGTGCTATTTATCTGATAAAATTGGAGTTTCCGGGATTACGTATTTAGATACCTTCAGTCTCAAGAAATTTGATACGAGTCTTGTTGTTGTGATTTTTTATCGGTAGTGGGACACCATTGATATTGAATTGGGCTTCCATTTCCTAGAGAACTCTGAATTCTCTCTTTAACTAATATTCTGGATCTAATTAGAGAAAGAATACTTGTGCCGATTTGAACTGCATTGTTATAGAAATTTTAGCAGTAGTGTTCGAATTTTGGCCGAGTTTCTTCATGGATGCCATGCCAACAATTTCTGTATAGATTTTTGCAAGGTGTTTATGTTTCATATTACCATCTGTTCATGATGTGATATTTGTATCTATTTGGCTGAATCATAGAAAGTTCCTCCTTACAAGTTGAAGTCGAACGTCTGACGCTCGTGCTAAAAGTATACAAGGCTTTTGTTTTTTGCGTAGATGGTTTGAGACTGAACGAGTAATACTGAAGACTTAGGTTGTTGTAAAGATTTCATGATTTGAACATAAAGATCCATAGTGGAAAGATCAATCATTTTTATTTTATTTGGTCTTACTTGTTTCACTTGTCATGGTTTATCACTAGGGTAACATATGAAACTATTGAATCATCTCTTATATGCTTCTTTTTTCCAGATACCGTGCCATCACAAGTGCATACTACCGAGGAGCCGTTGGTGCATTGCTTGTCTATGATGTCACACGACGCGTGACATTCGAAAATGTTGAGAGATGGTTGAAAGAGCTTAGGGATCACACCGATTCCAATATTGTGATAATGCTAGTTGGCAACAAGGCAGATTTGCAACATCTGCGTGCTGTTTCAACTGATGATGCCAAGGCCTTTGCAGAGAAGGAGAGCACATTCTTCATGGAGACATCTGCCCTTGAGGCTCTGAATGTCGAGAATGCTTTTACCGAGGTGCTTACCCAAATCTATCGTGTTGTCTGCAGAAAAGCACTCGAGATTGGGGAGGATCCCGCGGCGTTACCTAAAGGACAAACCATTAACGTCGGAAATAGGGATGATGTTTCTGCAGTGAAGAAGGTTGGTTGCTGCTCTTCATGATATCATCATATGAATATGAGGTACATCATCAAACGAGTAGAAGGATGAGTACATTATGCTATGTCTTGAATTTCGACTCCTGGTCATTTTTTATGGTGCTGGGGAGCTTCTGGGAGGGTTGGATTCATGTTGGAGTGCTTTGAAATTGACACCAGTTCTTGTTGTCAATTCCTTGTACTTGTCCGAGCTCACTCTTTTATATTGTTTTAATTTTTGGCTCATAGTTTTGATTGTATCAGATTGTTCTAGATAGAGAGATCTGCTAAACTGAAGTTGTATCTAGGTAAATGTTCAGTTCAATGGGGGCAGAATTCTTTAGTTTCTCCAAATTTGCTTGTTATGCCAGGAGGAACTTTTATTCCTCCAGGGACTTTCCTTGTAAGCTTTTCTCTTCCTCACAACCAAACGTGATATAAACTTCAAGGAAGATGTGAAAAAATTGTTGGATTTTCATTTTGAAGCTATTTCAAGTTATGTCTTTGTAAAAGAGACTTGGAAAATTTAGTTAAAAATATTTGTGCGTAATTTTATATGATTTAGGTTGCATGTATAGAATCATTCAAACTTAGATTTAAATTTCAAACAAGTATTCTTGACTTAGGAATATTTGATGGACAAGGTAATTTAAATCTTACTTCCCTTATAGTAATTCCTTATCATTTGGTATCCAGACTTTTCTTTCTATTGGTTCTTTATCACATACTTTGATTTAACTTGTATCGTTAAAATTTGTAACGAAAAGTGATAACTAGATTGGTTTCACGTTCAGTGGACCTACAAAATTGAAAACCAAATCCTACACATTGATGGAGAACACAAGATGCCCCGTTTGCTCCCTATGCTTTTGCACCCTAGCGTCGGTAGGGACCTAGAGAGTTGCTTTCACTTTTGGCGTTCCTCTGGATCTCACCTCTACACATGAAGTTCCACTCTCCTCTGTCTCACTCAAGTGAATGGGTTTCAAGAGCACTCCACCAATTTTTTTGTGGCTTTTCACTTTCAACCTAATTCATCGCCTACCTGCCCTGTACGCCCAATCATTCCAAAGAACACCTGCCCCCCTGTCTTACTGCAGCGGCTGCTAGCACGGAGTTAGTCGGGGCTTCTTCCTTGAGTCTTGCCATGATCGTGCACTCAACAAAAGAACTTTACAAGCGGCAAAAATCACAACAGAAAATAAAGAAAGTCCAGATTTCACATGTATGGTTTCCCAATACAAAACAACAAAAACTGTGTACAACAGAATTTTCAAGGGCCACCGGGAGGAACCGGACATCATGCAATGTGCGGTACTCTTCCAGCTGCTGAACCCTACCTCCGGCAGAGCGGTTTTCAGGATGGGCAGGCTGTTAAACAGAAAAGAAGGCCAGCAGACGTCTCTGAACTCCCCCCTGATTACATTCAGGGTTTAAGAAACCAACAAAATAAAAATGAGTTGGAGTCTTAACATTGTTTTTATGTGCAAGACATTTACAAACGACCAACATAGTTTAAACCGATCATCATAAGATCTCCAGTGAACAGCTAAAGCTATCTCCTAACTCAACTGTTCACAACCACCCTAATCACTATTCACCCATCTCGTCAATGCCTCAGATTTGCAGATGGGGCAAACATTTTTTACGAGCAGCCATTGTTTTAAGCAATCAGCATGATAATAGTGATTGCAATCGAGGACGCCAATCTTCCCGTCGTTTAGGGTGTCCTGTAAATCCATTCAGCCCACATATTAAACGGTATGTTGCTATCAGTTTAGTTCACACAAAGGAACTCAATTCTCCAGGCTAACAGGATTGATATGATACCAAATATAGTGATGAAGCAAGTAAATATAGTTCAAATAACATTTTAATGAAGTTACCAGGCATATGGTGCATGAAACGGGTTCCTCGTTCCTGGACTCCCTCGAAGATGGCATAGAAATCCTCGTCTTCAGTTGACTCGTAATCGTTTCCTCAGACAACCCAGTCCTGACATAGCCAATCCTCTCCTCTAATGCAAGAAGCTCCTGTATATTGGTATTAAGCACGTTGTTACGTTTATAAAAGCGACGTTCCTAATGCCAGAGAATGAGAATTCCTTCACCTCATATGACATGTGCTCGATATCCAGGCGCATATCTCTGTATGCATCAGCAAAATCTCCCGTATCATTGGAGTTCGAAGCCGAAGCCTGAACCCTTCGAAAGGGAACTTCCTATATATGACAACAAATTACATCAGCTCAACAGGTTCATCAAGAAAGTAATGCAGAATATAAGATAACCAGAAATTTCAGAATAATAGAAACTTGTATATAACAGTGGCAGGAATATAGAAAGAATAGTTACATCCTCCTCTGGAACTCTCATTTGAGAAGTTGAACGGCGTCGAAACATCGTCTCTGGGTCAATACAACCTTGATGAGGGTTATATGCAATGCGACCGCTAAATGGAAGATCACTTGTTTGCCTAGGCTCTAGCTCCATGAACTGTTGGTGCACGATACCATAAGCAGAACTCAAACAAACCCTTGGTATAGCTGCTGCTGCTGCTGCTGCTTGGGGATGCAAGTGCACCTGTTGTAACGGAATTCGATGACTCGAATGCTGGATCATCGTCGAAGGAGGATGCTGAAAATTTGGAGAACAACTCATCCCAGAAATTTCACCATATCTATGAAGACCTGAGCTAAAACTTTCTGAAGAACCTCTAATCCCGTTGTCCCCTGCAAGATTGTGTATTGCTATAAACACCAATGTAGTTTAAACTAAAATTGGCAGCAGAACTCAACAGTATACTGACAAGGTCGAAAAGAAAAACTCTTAAAGTTCCAGCAACCTAAATGGAAGGGGGCGTGGCGAGCATATCTAAAGAAAAATATACCATGGATAGCGAAACCTGCAGGAGCTTGGTTCCAGGTCCAAGCACTTCGATCGTCGAAGTTAAAGTTTACAGGTTGGTCTAACCGGAGAGCATTGCTGGCTTGCTGAAAGGGCTGAACCATTAAGTCTCCTCTAGTCAAGTGGCTAGGAACATGGCCATGTACAGGATTAAAAGGTCCATTTAAAGACTCAGAGCTTGCTAAACTATTGGGACCCTGAAAATTCACAGGGACCCCTTCAGAAAATCTTCTCTTATACGGAAATCCGACCTCCATAAAATGACTATTCCTTGCATATGCATCTGCAGGATTTCCAATCAATCCACTTCTAGGAGATGGGAACTGCTGATTACCATACGGTGAGGTCAGATACGAACAGGGATTGCCCGTAGTTGCTACCTGTATATCTTGAGCACGTTGGATCCTAGAACTATTGTATCGGTTCACTCCGTAGAGTATAGCACCATTAGCATGCTCAGGTAGACGTTGAACATCAGGATTCATCGAGTTTCTTGAAGCTGTAACCATCGAATGGCCACTCCACCGCGAGAAGGCTCCATGACCCGAAAGAGAAAGCTCAGGCAGATGACTTGGTTGATCTAATTCCAGATCCATTATTGGAGTTGTATGACTAGGAGCACGTGTTCTGTCCCTTGTGTCCATGAAAGTGCAGATATACCTGCTCTTAAACAAAAAGTATATGAAAAAACAGTATTTTGTCGAATGATATTAACAAACAACATAAAGTTCAAATACAAGTACAGATTCTAGACATGCCAATGGATATGAATTACACATCATGGAAAAATTGCACATCGGCACAACGCTTCCAAGCACTAATAAGAAGTAAAGATCAGCACAGCCATTGTGAAGAATAGTGGCAAAAGGTGACATGAGCATGCACCCAAAGAGAACTTAAAAATGCATTAAAATTAAACAGTAACAGCTCAAGCCCAACGCTAATAGATATTGTCTACTTTGGGATTTTCCTTTCGGGGTTCCTCTCAAGATTTTTAAAACGCGTCTGCTAGGTAAAGGTTTCCTAGTGTCCACCTCTTCCTAGGTTTAGCCTCCTCGTTGGCACATCGCCCGATGTCTAGCTCTGATACTATTTGTAATAGTCCAAGCCTACCGCTAGGGCTTTCCCTTTCGGACTTCCCCTCAAGGTTTCCAAAACACGTCTCCTAGGGAGAGGTTTCCACACCTTTATGAAGAATGTTTCGTTCTCCTCCCCAACATACGTGGGATCTCATAGGAACTCTACCAAATTTGTCCTTTCACTCTAAATATAAGCAACAAAGAAGAATACGTTTCCACCATACCTATAGGATATCATGAATTTACACCACCTTGGGAATATTTTCATTACTCCAGCAACAAACCCTTTAGCCATTTTCGAGATCCATTCGAGATAATCAGCAGGTTTTTTGACTTTTCAACATCCAACAATCCCCATTTCTTTTCATCTCAAGATGTCTATAAAATTATCCTATCCTTATCTTCCATGCCTAAGATCACTATGCAGGAAATATTGGGTAGAGAAGTTTTTATTTCATGAACAAACAAATTACAATGCAAACATGAGAAGATTAAAAAGAAAGGAGCAAAAAGCGCAATCAAAGTACAAAAAGTTTAAAGTTTCACCAAACTCTTAACTTATATGAGTAAACCAGGTGCTTAAAAAAATAAAGTAGTCAATAAAACCAACTTCTGCTCAAAGTCTACACCAAAATCACGAAGAACTTGACATTAACACTATTTTAGTTCAGCATGTACAATGCATACTAAAAAGGCAAAAACAATTCAACCCACAAAAAGGTTTCAGAAATCCCATGAATATGGCTTTCAACGAAGCAATCTTGCTTCTTACACCCATCAGAAATGCAAGTAAGGAACAGAAATTAAGGGGAAAATACCCAATCCTCAAACCATACGGTTCATATCTTAAATCAAAAGCTACTTAGCATCTTCACCAATTAGCGAGAAATTGCCAGCAAACTCAAACAGTCCCCAAGAAATCAAACAAAGGGTATGCAAGAAATCGACCTCAAAGATGAAGATGATCAGTGATTAAGGCCAGCAAGAGGGGACAAGCAGAGATACAATCGCTAAAAACGGAGAAAAGAGCGCAATGGGAGAAGGAACTCACAGTAAATGGGGTGTGATCGGCGCGAGAGAGAGTGTTGTTGAGAATTTTGAGGGTGGGTGTTGGTGAATTTAGTCAATCAATGGCATAAAAACGTCCCCATCGATTCCGCATTTCTCTTCCACAATTAGTTTTCTGATTGGACTCTGGCAACTGTTGACTCTGGCAAATCGGATGTCGACGAAAAAAAAAATTGGCCGAAGGTTTCTTCGAAGGAAAAATTAGCGGAAGTAAAAGGAGAGAGAGAGAGAGATTCGCTGGTAATGCTGAAGACTCAATATATTTATTTTACATCCGTTGAATGGTTTAAATAATAAATCTAATTACAAAAATAGAAAAACCAAATATACACAAATAGAATAAGTGGACGAAGACTCCGCCACTCTGCCAAAACAATGGCCCCTAGAATCACGCTCCTCCATTCGCGTGAACTCATATGTTTTTACAAACCTAACTAAATAAGGCAGAGCTTTTATTTAACAATCTCCTCCTAAAAGCTGTACCTTATTATTTGAACTCCGATCTTTGAGCGTAGTTCTTCAAATTTCACCCGCGCCAGGGATTTGGTGAAAATGTCTCCAAGTTGTTCCTCTGTTCGGATGAAATCAATTTTGATGAGCCCTCGATCTGCACATTCTCGAATGTAGTGGAATCTGATTTCTATGTGCTTGCTCCGGTCGTGCAAAACTGGATTTTTGATCAGGGAGATCGTAGCTTTGTTGTCTATGTATAGCATTGGTGGATCGCTTTCTCTCCCGATGATTTCTTCCATTAGTCGTGCAAGCCAGATCCCTTGAGTTGCTGCCATCGAAGCGGCGATGTATTCTGCTTCGCAGGAAGACAAAGCAACTACCTTCTGTTTTGTTGATTGCCAGCAGATCGCGCCGCCTGAGAGAAAGTAGATCATTCCGCTGGTGCTCTTACGATCATCAACGTCACCGGCCATGTCACTATCGCTGTAGCCGACCAGTTTGAGTTTCTCCTTTTCGCTCCCAGCGCAGTATCTTACGCCCCAGTCTCTGGTTCCGGCTACATAGCGCAGGATGCGCTTGACAGCCACTAGATGCTCCTCCCTAGGTGCTTCCATAAACCTACTCACATATCCAACAGAATAAGCAAGATCAGGACGAGAGTTTACCAGATAGCGCAGACTCCCGACAATGCTGCGGTAATTGGTGGAGTCGACTGTCGTCGTAGTGCCGGCCTTCCTTAGTTGAAGTCGGGCCTCCATTGGCGTCCTGGTAGGATTACTGTCCATAAGCCCAGTTGTGTCCAGCAGCTTTCTCGCGTATGCACTTTGGCAGATGGAGATGCCGGAAGAGTTCTGTTGCACTTCGATGCCGAGGTAGTAGCTGAGCACACCGAGATCGCTCATCTCGAAGTTTTTCGACATCTCCTTCTTGAACCTTCCGAGGACTCCCACGTCGCCTCCAGTGATTATGAGGTCGTCGACGTACACTCCCACGATCAGTCGCTTTTTGCCGTGGCCGTACGTGTACATGCCATGCTCAGAGGCACAACGTTTGAAATTCAGTGACAGTAGGGTACTGTCGAGCTTCGCGTTCCAGGCTCGTGGGGCTTGTCGAAGCCCGTAGAGTGCTTTGTGCAGGCGCAGTACCTTATTAGGGTTGTCGTTATCCAGGAAGCCAGGTGGTTGTCGAACATAGACGGTCTCCTTCAACTCTCCGTTAAGGAAAGCAGACTTTACGTCCATATGGTGAACCTCCCAAGAGTGATGTGCTGCAATTGCCAGCAGGAAACGAACGGATTCTAACCTTGCTACTGGCGCAAATACCTCTTCGAAATCCACTCCTTGCTTCTGGACGTAGCCCTTCGCCACCAGACGAGCCTTGTGCTTCACAACTTCTCCTTTTTCGTTGCGCTTCAGTTTGAAGACCCATTTGAGCCCTATGGCTCGGTGTCCCGGTGGCATATCCTCCAGACTCCACGTCTGGTTCTCAGTGATGGATGTCATCTCCTCCTGCATTGCCTTCCGCCAGCACGGGTTCTTTTCTGCTTCGGCGAAGGTGTTTGGTTCATCTGCACTGACGGCATGTAGTTCGGCCACTTCCTCGAGCTCGCGCGCTGCTAGTCCAGGTGGTTCACCTCCTCCCACTAGGTCATCCATCCTCCGGTACCTAGCCTCCAGATCAGTATCGTGATCGGCATCCAGCGTCGAATCCGCAGTCCGTGGTGTTGCGAATTCCACTGGTTCATGTGGTGCACCTGCTGGCGGCGGTGACGTCTCCTGATGCTGGGCTCCTCCTTCTTCAGGCTCAGTGACGAGGTACTCCACCGTGAATTGATTTGGATTACGGTCTGCCTCGATCACGTCATTCCACTGCCAGAAGGTGCTTTCGTCGAAGACGACGTCGCGAGACACGTGAGCTCGCCCCCCCACAGGATCATAGAGTCTGTACGCCTTGCTCCCGGGTTCGTAGCCGATGAAGACGACCTTCAGCCCCCTGGGATCGAGCTTGGCGAGATGGGGACGTGTTACCTTCATGTATGCGACGCAGCCGAACACGCGAAAATGGTGTACTGTTGGTTTTTTGTTGTACCAGGCTTCATATGGCGTCTTCCCGTCGAGGCTTCGGGTTGGTGACCGATTGAGGAGATAGACAGCCGTCATTACTGCCTCTCCCCAGAATCTCCCAGGCATCCCGGCCGTCACCAACAATGACCTCGCTGTCCCGACAATGGTCTGATTTCGGCGCTCTACCACTCCGTTCTGTTGGGGGGAGTAGGGCGCCGTTAGGTGCCGTTGTATGCCGACCTCATCGCAGTACTTACTGAAACTTGCCGAGGTGAATTCTCCGCCACGGTCTGTGCGCAGCACTCGCATCTTCTTCTCACATTCGGCCTCCGCTCGCGCTTTAATGCGCTTAACCGCCTCTGCCGCCTCACTTTTCGCTTGCAGCAAAGTCAGCCACATGAAGCGGCTTTTGTCATCGACTAACAGGAGGAAGAGACTCTTACCGCCTGGGGTCGCCGGCTTGATGGGCCCGCAAATATCGCCGTGTACAAGCTCCAATGGCTCATCGGCTCGGTAGGCTGTTCGAGACGGAAAGGGTGTGCGCTTCTGTTTGCCGATGAGGCACCCGTCGCACAGCTTGTTCACGCCTTTGATTTCTGGCAAGCCGTGCACCAACTCCTTCTTCTGTAACTTTTCTAGGGCAGGAAAGTTTAAGTGTCCGTACCTTGCGTGCCACCTCCAAGATACCTCTTCGGTCTTGGCCGAGAGGCTAACGGGTTGGTCTATCTCTAACTCCAGGATGTAAAGACGGTTTGTGGTTCGTCTTGCCTGCGTGAGCAGCCGTCGTTGATTATCGCAGATTTTCAGTAGTCCGCGCTCGATGGAAATGAAGCAGCCTGTCTCATCGAGCTGACCCAGGCTCACAAGGTTAGCCTTGAGCCTCGGGATGAAGTAGACGTCGGTCAGCTTGCGATGCTCGCCTCCCTTACTGACGAACAGGATGGTGCCGCGCCCTTCGATCTCGACGACGGAGCCGTCGCCGAATTTCACCGTCCCACGGATCCCCGAGTCGAGCTCGGAGAACGCAGATCTAGCCCCGGTCATATGGTTTGTTGCCCCTGTGTCAAGGATCCATTGCTGGTGCTCGTGTTGCTCGTCCCTTTCGCCGATCTGAGCGAACACTCGCTCCTCCTCCAGTTGAATTGGCTCCCCAGTTGGTGCCAGCTTTGCTACGCCCAACTGGAGCTCTTTCTTGGGTTCAAGATCGTCGTCGGAGTTGGAATCGAAATTGGGGACGCATGCGGTTACCATGAAGAGAGCTGGCTCGTCCTCCTCGGATTGAGCCACATGGGCCTGGGCCTTTTCGGCCTTCTCCTTATTCCTCAGCTTGCTCCAGCAATTTCTGCCCAGGTGTCCTCTCTTCCCACAGTTCGAGCAATGGATCGGCCTGCCATTGGTCGACTCCTTCTTTTGATTCTCATCTTTCCCGCGCGTGCGCCCGTGGGACATCCATGGCTTCTTACCGCCTTTGCGGCTGGAGGAGGACCCGTTGCTCTCGCCGGTGTTGTCGCGGAGCTTTAGGCGTGCAAGCCATTCCTCCTCCGTGAGGAGTAGACGGCCCTCCTTGTCAACAGCTGAAGTGATATTCTTCTTCCGCTGCTCGACGTTACGTAGTCTTCCGGTCACCTCTTCCACTGTTAGGTCGTTCACGTCAAGCAATGTCTCGATTGAAATCGCGACTTGCTCGAGGTGATCGGGAACGACCTGCAACATCTTCTTCACGATTTCTGTCTCGCTGATGCCACCACCGAGGGTGGTGATGCTGTTGGCGAGCCCCGTGATCCGCATTGAAAAATCATCGACGGATTCGCCGTCCTTAAAGCGAATCTCCGAGAGCTCCTTTCGCAGTTGCTCGATGTTGGATTCCCGCACTCGCTGTACACCGACCCGACGGGATTTGATTCCCTCCCAGGCCGATTGTGCGGTGCGCTTGGTGGAAAGAGAAGCCAGCATCTCTGGGGGCACAGATCGTAATATGGCGGCGAACGCCAGCCGATCCTCCCGGTACTCGATTGTTTCTCCTTCCTCTGGCTCGACAGCGTGCCATAACCCTTGCGCCTGTAGGTTAACACGCATCAACAAGGCCCACTCGTTGTAGTTGGACCTTGTCAACATCGGGTACTGAACGACGGCGGTCGTTGTCTCTCTGATCACTCGCTCAACAACTACTCGACGCCCGTCATCACGATGTCGGCCACGGCCTCTTCGTGGTGGTGATGGAGATGCCGGCACTTGGCGGCGTGGAGGAGTGAGCGAGCCTGCTTGAGATGGGCCCCACGATGTATTTATTTTTGTGCTTTGCATTTTCTTCTACTCGAACCTAAGACCTGTGTGTTATTAGATCGACGCTCTAACCACTTGAGCTATTCAACTTGATTGTTGATAGGTTGGCTCTTCTGTGATGGTATACTACCGATCGCTTCAACCAGGCTCTGATACCACTTGTTGACTCTGGCAAATCGGATGTCGACGAAAAAAAAAAATTGGCCGAAGGTTTCTTCGAAGGAAAAATTAGCGGAAGTAAAAGGAGAGAGAGAGAGAGATTCGCTGGTAATGCTGAAGACTCAATATATTTATTTTACATCCGTTGAATGGTTTAAATAATAAATCTAATTACAAAAATAGAAAAACCAAATATACACAAATAGANTAAGTGGACGAAGACTCCGCCACTCTGCCAAAACAATGGCCCCTAGAATCACGCTCCTCCATTCGCGTGAACTCATATGTTTTTACAAACCTAACTAAATAAGGCAGAGCTTTTATTTAACAATCTCCTCCTAAAAGCTGTACCTTATTATTTGAACTCCGATCTTTGAGCGTAGTTCTTCAAATTTCACCCGCGCCAGGGATTTGGTGAAAATGTCTCCAAGTTGTTCCTCTGTTCGGATGAAATCAATTTTGATGAGCCCTCGATCTGCACATTCTCGAATGTAGTGGAATCTGATTTCTATGTGCTTGCTCCGGTCGTGCAAAACTGGATTTTTGATCAGGGAGATCGTAGCTTTGTTGTCTATGTATAGCATTGGTGGATCGCTTTCTCTCCCGATGATTTCTTCCATTAGTCGTGCAAGCCAGATCCCTTGAGTTGCTGCCATCGAAGCGGCGATGTATTCTGCTTCGCAGGAAGACAAAGCAACTACCTTCTGTTTTGTTGATTGCCAGCAGATCGCGCCGCCTGAGAGAAAGTAGATCATTCCGCTGGTGCTCTTACGATCATCAACGTCACCGGCCATGTCACTATCGCTGTAGCCGACCAGTTTGAGTTTCTCCTTTTCGCTCCCAGCGCAGTATCTTACGCCCCAGTCTCTGGTTCCGGCTACATAGCGCAGGATGCGCTTGACAGCCACTAGATGCTCCTCCCTAGGTGCTTCCATAAACCAGATAGCGCAGACTCCCGACAATGCTGCGGTAATTGGTGGAGTCGACTGTCGTCGTAGTGCCGGCCTTCCTTAGTTGAAGTCGGGCCTCCATTGGCGTCCTGGTAGGATTACTGTCCATAAGCCCAGTTGTGTCCAGCAGCTTTCTCGCGTATGCACTTTGGCAGATGGAGATGCCGGAAGAGTTCTGTTGCACTTCGATGCCGAGGTAGTAGCTGAGCACACCGAGATCGCTCATCTCGAAGTTTTTCGACATCTCCTTCTTGAACCTTCCGAGGACTCCCACGTCGCCTCCAGTGATTATGAGGTCGTCGACGTACACTCCCACGATCAGTCGCTTTTTGCCGTGGCCGTACGTGTACATGCCATGCTCAGAGGCACAACGTTTGAAATTCAGTGACAGTAGGGTACTGTCGAGCTTCGCGTTCCAGGCTCGTGGGGCTTGTCGAAGCCCGTAGAGTGCTTTGTGCAGGCGCAGTACCTTATTAGGGTTGTCGTTATCCAGGAAGCCAGGTGGTTGTCGAACATAGACGGTCTCCTTCAACTCTCCGTTAAGGAAAGCAGACTTTACGTCCATATGGTGAACCTCCCAAGAGTGATGTGCTGCAATTGCCAGCAGGAAACGAACGGATTCTAACCTTGCTACTGGCGCAAATACCTCTTCGAAATCCACTCCTTGCTTCTGGACGTAGCCCTTCGCCACCAGACGAGCCTTGTGCTTCACAACTTCTCCTTTTTCGTTGCGCTTCAGTTTGAAGACCCATTTGAGCCCTATGGCTCGGTGTCCCGGTGGCATATCCTCCAGACTCCACGTCTGGTTCTCAGTGATGGATGTCATCTCCTCCTGCATTGCCTTCCGCCAGCACGGGTTCTTTTCTGCTTCGGCGAAGGTGTTTGGTTCATCTGCACTGACGGCATGTAGTTCGGCCACTTCCTCGAGCTCGCGCGCTGCTAGTCCAGGTGGTTCACCTCCTCCCACTAGGTCATCCATCCTCCGGTACCTAGCCTCCAGATCAGTATCGTGATCGGCATCCAGCGTCGAATCCGCAGTCCGTGGTGTTGCGAATTCCACTGGTTCATGTGGTGCACCTGCTGGCGGCGGTGACGTCTCCTGATGCTGGGCTCCTCCTTCTTCAGGCTCAGTGACGAGGTACTCCACCGTGAATTGATTTGGATTACGGTCTGCCTCGATCACGTCATTCCACTGCCAGAAGGTGCTTTCGTCGAAGACGACGTCGCGAGACACGTGAGCTCGCCCCCCCACAGGATCATAGAGTCTGTACGCCTTGCTCCCGGGTTCGTAGCCGATGAAGACGACCTTCAGCCCCCTGGGATCGAGCTTGGCGAGATGGGGACGTGTTACCTTCATGTATGCGACGCAGCCGAACACGCGAAAATGGTGTACTGTTGGTTTTTTGTTGTACCAGGCTTCATATGGCGTCTTCCCGTCGAGGCTTCGGGTTGGTGACCGATTGAGGAGATAGACAGCCGTCATTACTGCCTCTCCCCAGAATCTCCCAGGCATCCCGGCCGTCACCAACAATGACCTCGCTGTCCCGACAATGGTCTGATTTCGGCGCTCTACCACTCCGTTCTGTTGGGGGGAGTAGGGCGCCGTTAGGTGCCGTTGTATGCCGACCTCATCGCAGTACTTACTGAAACTTGCCGAGGTGAATTCTCCGCCACGGTCTGTGCGCAGCACTCGCATCTTCTTCTCACATTCGGCCTCCGCTCGCGCTTTAATGCGCTTAACCGCCTCTGCCGCCTCACTTTTCGCTTGCAGCAAAGTCAGCCACATGAAGCGGCTTTTGTCATCGACTAACAGGAGGAAGAGACTCTTACCGCCTGGGGTCGCCGGCTTGATGGGCCCGCAAATATCGCCGTGTACAAGCTCCAATGGCTCATCGGCTCGGTAGGCTGTTCGAGACGGAAAGGGTGTGCGCTTCTGTTTGCCGATGAGGCACCCGTCGCACAGCTTGTTCACGCCTTTGATTTCTGGCAAGCCGTGCACCAACTCCTTCTTCTGTAACTTTTCTAGGGCAGGAAAGTTTAAGTGTCCGTACCTTGCGTGCCACCTCCAAGATACCTCTTCGGTCTTGGCCGAGAGGCTAACGGGTTGGTCTATCTCTAACTCCAGGATGTAAAGACGGTTTGTGGTTCGTCTTGCCTGCGTGAGCAGCCGTCGTTGATTATCGCAGATTTTCAGTAGTCCGCGCTCGATGGAAATGAAGCAGCCTGTCTCATCGAGCTGACCCAGGCTCACAAGGTTAGCCTTGAGCCTCGGGATGAAGTAGACGTCGGTCAGCTTGCGATGCTCGCCTCCCTTACTGACGAACAGGATGGTGCCGCGCCCTTCGATCTCGACGACGGAGCCGTCGCCGAATTTCACCGTCCCACGGATCCCCGAGTCGAGCTCGGAGAACGCAGATCTAGCCCCGGTCATATGGTTTGTTGCCCCTGTGTCAAGGATCCATTGCTGGTGCTCGTGTTGCTCGTCCCTTTCGCCGATCTGAGCGAACACTCGCTCCTCCTCCAGTTGAATTGGCTCCCCAGTTGGTGCCAGCTTTGCTACGCCCAACTGGAGCTCTTTCTTGGGTTCAAGATCGTCGTCGGAGTTGGAATCGAAATTGGGGACGCATGCGGTTACCATGAAGAGAGCTGGCTCGTCCTCCTCGGATTGAGCCACATGGGCCTGGGCCTTTTCGGCCTTCTCCTTATTCCTCAGCTTGCTCCAGCAATTTCTGCCCAGGTGTCCTCTCTTCCCACAGTTCGAGCAATGGATCGGCCTGCCATTGGTCGACTCCTTCTTTTGATTCTCATCTTTCCCGCGCGTGCGCCCGTGGGACATCCATGGCTTCTTACCGCCTTTGCGGCTGGAGGAGGACCCGTTGCTCTCGCCGGTGTTGTCGCGGAGCTTTAGGCGTGCAAGCCATTCCTCCTCCGTGAGGAGTAGACGGCCCTCCTTGTCAACAGCTGAAGTGATATTCTTCTTCCGCTGCTCGACGTTACGTAGTCTTCCGGTCACCTCTTCCACTGTTAGGTCGTTCACGTCAAGCAATGTCTCGATTGAAATCGCGACTTGCTCGAGGTGATCGGGAACGACCTGCAACATCTTCTTCACGATTTCTGTCTCGCTGATGCCACCACCGAGGGTGGTGATGCTGTTGGCGAGCCCCGTGATCCGCATTGAAAAATCATCGACGGATTCGCCGTCCTTAAAGCGAATCTCCGAGAGCTCCTTTCGCAGTTGCTCGATGTTGGATTCCCGCACTCGCTGTACACCGACCCGACGGGATTTGATTCCCTCCCAGGCCGATTGTGCGGTGCGCTTGGTGGAAAGAGAAGCCAGCATCTCTGGGGGCACAGATCGTAATATGGCGGCGAACGCCAGCCGATCCTCCCGGTACTCGATTGTTTCTCCTTCCTCTGGCTCGACAGCGTGCCATAACCCTTGCGCCTGTAGGTTAACACGCATCAACAAGGCCCACTCGTTGTAGTTGGACCTTGTCAACATCGGGTACTGAACGACGGCGGTCGTTGTCTCTCTGATCACTCGCTCAACAACTACTCGACGCCCGTCATCACGATGTCGGCCACGGCCTCTTCGTGGTGGTGATGGAGATGCCGGCACTTGGCGGCGTGGAGGAGTGAGCGAGCCTGCTTGAGATGGGCCCCACGATGTATTTATTTTTGTGCTTTGCATTTTCTTCTACTCGAACCTAAGACCTGTGTGTTATTAGATCGACGCTCTAACCACTTGAGCTATTCAACTTGATTGTTGATAGGTTGGCTCTTCTGTGATGGTATACTACCGATCGCTTCAACCAGGCTCTGATACCACTTGTTGACTCTGGCAAATCGGATGTCGACGAAAAAAAAAAATTGGCCGAAGGTTTCTTCGAAGGAAAAATTAGCGGAAGTAAAAGGAGAGAGAGAGAGAGATTCGCTGGTAATGCTGAAGACTCAATATATTTATTTTACATCCGTTGAATGGTTTAAATAATAAATCTAATTACAAAAATAGAAAAACCAAATATACACAAATAGAATAAGTGGACGAAGACTCCGCCACTCTGCCAAAACAATGGCCCCTAGAATCACGCTCCTCCATTCGCGTGAACTCATATGTTTTTACAAACCTAACTAAATAAGGCAGAGCTTTTATTTAACAGCAACTGGTTTTCTTCTTCCCCAATTTTTTTTTTTTTTTTTTTTTTTTTTTTTTGTAATTTACTTCAGAATATGTCCGAAAAGGCATATCTTATCCGTTCATTTAACCATCTGCCTTTTTCTTAAACAAGATTATGGTAGGGTTGAAAAAAAATTAAATTAAATTTTGTATTTTGGGTTGTTTTTCTAGGTAACTCTTAATCTCCAAGGAAATAAGCACACCTTAGATTACCGTTTAGTTTATCCTATATTAACTTTTAGATATGCATTTATGTTGTAACCGAAATTTTCGGACAATTTCGAATCTATTAAACCTCTATTAATAAGTCCACGTGGATTAACGGAGACTATCCTCCTAATCTATCAAACCTCTATTAATAAGTCCACGTGGATTAACGGAGAGTATCCCCCGAATCTATCAAACCTCTATTAATAAGTCCAAGTGGATTAACGGAGGCCGTCCCCCGAATTTATCAAACCTCTATTAATAAATCCACGTGGTTTAACGGAGGCCGTCCCCCAAATCTATCAAACCTCTATTAATAAGTCCACGTGGATTAACGGAGGCGGTCCATCCAATCACATGTATGGAGTAAAAAAGTAAAGTGAGTGAGGAGAAATATTATAATCTTATAGAATAATGTAATATTTTCCAAAAAGATAAGAATATGATTTATATTAAAACGATAAGTGAGAAACTTCCCGTAAATGTGATACAAGATCAAGTGAGAAGGTATTTAGTGCACCTTAAAGCTATAGTAGCTTACTTCTTCTGTATCTAACCAAACCAAAATTAGATCAATACGAGACACGTGCTTGTGTTTGAGATTAAAAGTTGCTTTACGATATTAAGTTGTCATATCCGTACAATATTAGTAACCAGTAGTTCTTGAGCTTGAAGATCAAATTTGGCCAAGAACACAGGCCAACAGTCTCACTCAAAATAAAGAATGCCTATAATCTACTCAATTCTACACCAGCAAGTTCCACATTTTTGTAAGATCAAAATCAGATTAAGATATTAGGAGTTTGATCGTTCATTCAACACCACCTCCATCCTTGGATTTCTTCCTTGGCTTGCGTTTCTTCTGCTTCAATTTAAGCTTTACTTCAGCTTTTACACTCTTTTCCCACTCCTTACTTTTCTTTTGATAGAGCAGCATTGCAGAACGAGCATCTTCTACCTACAAAACAAAATTCAGCCAAATTTTCACAGATCCTTCGAAACAAAATGTCCCATGACAGAATGGTAAAACATTTAAAAGGCCGATCTGAATAAAATTTCTTGCAAGCTGTTGGCATCGATAGTAATTGTAATATCCCACGTTGGTTGAAGAGAAGAACGAATCACCCTTTATAAGGGTGTGGAAACCTTTCCCTAGCAAACGTGTAATGGGGAAGCCCATAAAGGACAGCCCAAAAGGAAAAGCCCAAAGAGGACAGTATCTAGATGAGCACCGGTTCCGCTGTATAACTCTGAAAGACGCATTTTAAAGCCTAAAGGGGAAAACCCAAAGAGGATAATATCTACTACCAGTGGACTTGGGCCGTTACAGTGATAGAGGAAGCTTGAACGATATACAGATTCCCAGAATTTGCAAAATTAGGTCAGACATCGCACATAATCTGTGCATCGAGATGGGAGTCCTTGCTTTTGGTGGTCATGAATCTTAGGATGAAAACAAGTAACATAGCTCGCAAAAACTTCGACTAGTTTCACGATAACTGCTAAACCCTATTATATTTGGTTGTCAAGAAAACTAGTCGGGTATAAAATCCTAAGAAGGTTGTCATCATGGCTTGAATCCATTCTTTCTAAGCCTTTTCATTTTTATGACCGTAATTGACCACTACATCAACTCATGTTCGTTAATCAATACCCAGAGATTTCTTTGGCGGTTTAACAAAAGGAGCTAAAAATATAAAGGGTGAAAAGATCAGAAAACTAACAGGACAGTGCTCCCCATTTTGAATCTCAACGCCAAGAACCTCAGCTGCAAGATGGCGGAGGGATCTTCTACATCCTCCCCTGTGGCACCAAACATTTGAGAACGGATATTTTCCGAAGTAGAATCGAACAGATTGAAGTTATAAAGTTCAATGGGAAGCAAAATAATTACCTCTGGAAGAACTGATACTCGGAGGTATCTCTCACATCCTTCTTGGGATGACTCAAGAGCAATGCCTGTCAAAAGAACTTTACTTTAACTGTTCAGATTTATACTTTAAACCATAAACTACATTAATCCAGATACCTTAAGATCATTACGCAAGGCATGGCCAACAAGAATCCTTCCTTTAATCAATTCTGCCACTCTCTTCTGGACAGTTGGAAAATCCTTTGCTGAAATTGAAAAATCAAATCAATTACGTCAATGGCATTGCGAATCGAAACCTACTGATTGAGCGCAAGGAACTAAAAAAATCCAAATCCCAGGCCATCTTGTTGAAAGCAAGGGGCAAAGTACAATACCCTAAATTTACTTTTCATTAATCTACCTACTCAAACTTTCTAACTTTCTAAAACAGCTCAAGCCCACCGCTAGTAGATATTGTCCTCTTTGGGTTTCCCCTTCTTGACTTTCCCTTAAGGTTTTAAAGCGTGTCTGCTAGGAAGAGGTTTCCACACTCTTATAAAGAATGTTTCGTTCTCCTCTCCAACCGACGTGGGATTTCACACTTTCACTTCCCTATTAGTACCTAGAATTACTTTTCTCAGAGATAATTGACATAGCTAGAAATCAGGCATCCTTGTAAACACTCTTCAAGGAGACAGATAATTCCAATCTCTTCCCTAGAATGCTTTTTGTTAGGTAAAGATGTTGGGTAGCTGAGTACTATTGTATTAAGACATGTAAACAACCAAATATGCATTTAAAAGAAATAAGGAAAACCAAGGTCACCTTTCCTCAGGTCGCAGGGTCTTATGCCACTAATTTCAGTCCGAAAGTCAACCACACGCTCTATAGGACGTACAAACTCATTGTATATAACATTCCCCCATTTGTTTACCTGTCATTAATTGGCATTACTGTTAGCAACTAATAATATATAAAAGTTAAACGTCACTCTTTAGTGCCCCAAGAAGCAGCTACACATATGACAATGAAAGTTTAACTATCAACCCCTCCAAAAAGACAATAATAATAATAATAATAATAATCCATCCACTCTCCTGATTGAAGGAGGTATGAAGAGTCTGCCTCTGCACGTGTATGCTAAAAAACCAAATACATGGATACGAATAACAGGTGATCAAATTCAAAAAGGATTGAATGAAAGACTGAATACCACTGTAACTCGTCCAAGGGCGCTTTTGTTACCTTGGCCCACGCCAACCATTTCACAATCCATAGCTACTACATCTGTAAGACTGGCAAAAGTTTGAAGTGAGTTAGTCGTCAATTCTTTGAGCTAGACTTCTAAAGGAACCCAGCTATTTATTCTAGATGTTTCTTCTGATTTTAACCCCGACGAGTTCAAATAAGAGTTTTATTTTTTATTTTTATTTTTTTTTTTGTG